CAACACAAGAATTAAGATAAAAACTTAAGGTCTTGAATTAAAAACTAGAAGTCAATCAGTTTTGTCTTCCATCCAATACAAAGATATTTAGCTTAGCATATTAATGTAGGAAAATAGGAAAAATAAAAGAACGACATCACCCGAATCATTAAAGTATGAAAAGAATCTGAAGTCCTCCACTTTATGTCTTCAATTCCAAATCTAAGTGATGAAGTCTTGTTCTTCAATGCATATCCCGCTCTCTTTTTCCTCTTTGTCGGATTCCAAGATGATAAAAATTAGGTTCCTCGTATTTTTGTTGACTTTTGGTATAAATATCGTGTAAAGAATTGCAAACCAAGACTTTCCAAAATAAAATAAGGAAACATAATTTTTTCGTTGGAATTGAACCATGCGTACGCATGGTTCATTTGGTGCGTACGCATAGTAGTTTCAATTGAGTTTCGAAAGTTAAATTTTCCAATCGTGCGTACGCAAGACCTGCAAGCCTATGCGTACGCACAGTTCAATTATTTTAGGGGTCAATTTGCAATTTGGTTCCTAAACTTTCTGAAGCGTGTGTTTTGGTCCTTTCCCAAAATTTCTTGTCCCATTAGCTTTTCTTCAACTCCAATTGACTCTTGGTGTTCTCAACTCATCGTTCTTTGGTCCAATTCAACTTTTGGATTATTGCATTCTAGTCCCCAAACTTTGCCCTTGATGTAATTGAGTCGTTTTTCCTGCTTATTTTCTTTTTTTGTATCTTTCATTGATTGTAATCTGCACTACACACAATATATACATAGGATTAAGCCATATTCCATCAAATTCATTAACAAATACTCAATTTTAATGGTCTAAATAAGTGTATAAAATACACTTATCAAAGACCCCCAAAACTTGAACATTTGTTTGCCCTCAAACAATTTATAGCCTGATCTAATTAAACTTTGGTTGAATGGTATGATGTTAGTCTTAGGATTGGATAATTGTGTCACTACTTTGAAAAGTGTCCAAATTACACATTTGAAATTAATCTCCCATTATTCAATGTGAAACTTAAGGTGTGTGTGCGAATATTCATGTAAACATCACAACACTAATAACTGGTTTGATTTCCAACATGGAGTAGTCAATTATTTCATTTCCTCACTCGTAAGATACACATCCCCAAACTTATGCTTTTTACTCACTTTTCCCGAGGTATGCACTAAGGTTGATTTTTAGCTAATTCTGATCCTTACCCTCTCTCATTTGGATAGATCTTAGCTAATATAGATTCTCATCTCGACTAATAAGAATTCTCCCATATTTTTGATTACTTCGGTTTCTAAGACTCAATTGAGCTAATGACCCATTGTCAAAAGTATAAGTCCCTAAAATAGTTGTTCGAGACTTAATCTTGGCACTTTGTGCGTCTTCTGTTTCATGCACCTGCTCATTCCGAATTTTTTTTTCATTTATATATATACTTCTCTTCATTAAGCGACTAAGTGACCCCTGTAACGAGTTTTAAGCCGGTGATTTCCAAGTTAGATGACCATAGGGCACCATGTTTTAAGGACCCTTGCAGGCTTAATTGCTCGAATCAAAAAGGCTCCGAAGAGAAATTCTTTTTACTTCTTTTAATTGTCAAGATTAATGCAATGCCCCTTATTAAACACATATTCTCGAAATCGACCTCTAACTCGAGGTTTTCGTCTCAATTCATTTTATTGACTTTAGATAATCCACACAATCATTTCACACATGGAATCCTTAATTATCTCAATGTTTCTCTATACTAGTTTAATCATTTCCAAATTCTCCTAAAAGAGGTTTTATGGTCTTATTTATTTATGTTGGTTCGGGTTTGAATCAACTATGTTCAACTTTCTCCTTATACAAACCAAGTCATCAACTCATAATGCAGAACATGAATATCGTGCTCAATAGAGATCAAGTTTCACATCAACAGGTGTTAACTAACTCAACATATAATTCTTCAACGGTTCTTAGTTGATTACACAGTTCCAATATATGCATCATTGACAACAAGGTCATCCAACCCACACAAGCACATGAAAGTTAAAAACAATTTTTATTTTTTTTTAGATAAAAACATACCAATCATGCGAAAAGAAGTAAACATGAAGATAAAAGATTAAATCACCCCCAAACTTAACAGGTGCATTGTCCTCAATGTACTACAATAAGGAATAAAATGCAAAAAGGAGGGTGCGAAAGGAACAGGAACTCCCCTGATCAATCGAAAGGTGGCGGTGGAGGTAGACAGGAAAGAATCTCCCTCATCAAAGCAGATTGCTGGCCCACTCGATTTGCATATTACGGACCATGTCATATGTCTGATCAGCCTGGAATTGCATGTCATCCATCATTCCAGTATAGCAGTCCAACCTCTCAATTAGCCTATCAGTACTTTGACGTAAATCAGAGACATCTTCTTGAGTTCTGCTCTTGCTGGCCCGTACAATCCCAATGTCAATTTGCATATCTTGTACCCGTAAATCCAAGGTTGTAAATGATTACTGCAGCTGTTGAACATCCCTACTCAGCCCGGTCATCATCGTAAACATCTGTCGCAGTACAGGGGTGTCAACTAGTGGTTCATGTTGCGAGGCTGGGTGGATATCAAAGTCATCCCCATGGCCTGCCTCGTCCTGGTTATCTTGTCGTCCTTGTTTCTATTGATGGACTTTTCTCCAAGAGTTTTGGGTAGAGAAAGTTGATTGGGGTAACAGGACGTATTACCTACTTAGCTGGTAGGAGCTGCATTCCATAAGCCCTGCATATTCCACAGATAAGGCTTGGAAATATGAGTGTGTGTCGTGGGTCTTCTTCAGCAACGCAGGCACAAATCAAATTATAGATGTGAGTGCCCAAGTCAAATTTGAGCCCTCTAGCTAGATGGTAGAGCAAAGCAGCTTTAGTGTGATCGAACTTGTAACGATGCTTGGAGGGATCAACATTGTGGCAAACAGACATCATCAGAACCATGAGAGACTCAGTTAAATTACTGTATAAGAAATCCGATCGACGGAGCGGCCAAGCATTTGCTCGTCCATATAAAACCTATACTAACTCTCGCCAATTCTGCTCTGGCAGTATCGGGATGATTCCTTCTCGATTCAATTCAAGATATTCATCAATGACCTCAGGTGTGAACATAAACCATTTATCCTACACCCAGGTTCGGCGTTGGTGATCGGTCGTAGGCTTGTCGATGGAGAAGTTAAAATTTGTGTAGAGCTCTTGAACAAGTGTAGGATAAATAGCAAATGGTTTAGCTATCACCTTTTCCCAGCCCGCACGGTGAATTAATGTCTCAATTTCAAACCCCGGGAAATCTTCCAATACCACTTCCCGCTCGGGTAAAACAGTCCATTTGGCGACTATTTACTCAAATCGAAGCTTATGCTCTGGGCTTAGGAATCTTCGCACGCCACCTTCATCAACTCAAGAACGGCCCAGGTTGGACGAAGAAGAGGCTTTGCCTTTCCCTTTTGAAGTGGATAGAGCGTCGCGTGTGCATTTGGGAGGCATTCCTGCAAAAGGCACAAAAGAAGTAATATAAGATAGATGAACGGGATAATTGTTAGCAAGAGAATACCGTAAGCACCAAACGAGGAGCAAAGTGTAGTGCCATGTGTGGAGAAAAACACAGGTAGTGCGATGGAAGGGATGGTAAGTACAACGTGTTGTTTCCCTTCAATTTCAAGTTATACAATAGAGTGGATGCAAGCAAGTATAAGGTGTCATTCAATTGAGGAAAGCCCAAGTGTGGTGCAAAAATTCAAGCTAAAATGTAAACAAATGAGTCTTTGGGACAATTAAACAAACACTTTGTGGGTAATGTTGTAGCAAGAACGCCCATATGCCTATTTTTTGTGATGAATCTACCAATGTTTACATCAAATTAAACAAAATCCACCATCTACCTAAGCCCAACCTCTACAATAATCCATAAAGTCCGTCAAATTGCACAAAAATTGGAAAAAATTTGCAACTCGAGAGTTTTCAAAGTGAAGTATATTACCTTCGAGTTCTTGGCAATTGGGGGTGTTTGAGTGGATGATGTTGATGTACAAGGTACGCTAATGTGACCAAGTTGTAATGCCCAAGTGAAGGGATGAAGAAATCTAGGAGGGAAGATGCGCCGATTTGTGGAGAAATAAAGGTGTGCTCGTGTGTATGTGAAGGAGTGAAATATGTAGGAATTGTGTACGTGGGTGAGGGTTTCTATGCGTACGTATGGCTTGGGTCGTGCATACGCACAGCCCAAGCAGATTGGCCTCGTGCGGCCAATCTGCATAACCGTGTGTATGCCCAGCCTGCAGGCCGATGCGTACACATGGTTAACCCAATTTTTTTTAACTGACTCTCCGAACCCACCCCCGGCTAAATTCGCTACATAATACATTTTAGGAATATGCAAAACGACTAACATAAAAGTTCAATGCCAATCCCAAAAGGTTCGTTTTGGTTTAAACCGAACCCGACCACACATGTTCCACTCCCAACCTAATACCTTTACTACTGTGATCGAAAAATGTGCAAATTATGCGGGAATCAATAGATTATAAGTAAGTCATTCTTGTACCCAAAATTACACATTTTAGCCTCGATGATCGTAACATCTCGTTTTTTATCTAGTTATTTGTGATGCCCTCCAATTGCATGTTTGGAATGATTGAACTCCCCTAAACTTGTGTAAAACAAATATGAAATTGCGTGACCTGTGCATTAACTCAACAACTAAGCAATGAATGGATGACACCTAATCTATCTAACACACCCAAGCAATAAAGAAAACATATAAAAATCCTAATCTAATGCAACAAAGAGGAATAAATAAAAGGGAAGAGAATTGGATTGCCTCCCAATAAGCGCTATTTTTTTAGTCTATAGCTCGACTTTGTTGCTCAGGCTACTCTACCTATTAAGAGGCACGGTCGTCTTCTCATTGGAGTAGTCACCTCCCCAATAGGCTTTCAACCATTGTCCATTCATTTAAACCTTCTCTATTCATCCTGAGATACTACTTCTACAGTACCATGTGGAAGCACGGCTACTACTGTGAAAGGACCTGACCACCTAGACTTTAGCTTTCCAAGAAAGAGTTTGAGACGTGAATTGAACATCAATACTTGTTGGCCTACTTCAAAATCCTTCTCTCTTATATCTCTGTCGTGCCATCTCTTGGTTTTCTCCTTATAAATCTTTGCATTCTCATATGAATCCAAACGAAATTTCTCTAGCTCATGGAGTTGTAGAACCCTCTTTTCTCCTGCCACCCTCATATTGAAATTAAGCAAATGAGTTGCCCAATATATCTTATGCTCTAACTCAATGGGCAGATGACAGGTCTTTCCAAACACCAGTCGATATGGAGACATGCCAATTGGAGTCTTAAACGCTGTTTTATAAGCCCAAAGTGCATCGTCTAGCTTCTTAGCCCAATCCTTACAGGAAGCATCGACTGTAGCTTCGAGAATCTTCTTTAACTCCCTATTGGAGATTTTCACTTGCCCACTAGTTTGAGGATGGTACAGAGTCGAGACACGGTGTTTTACTCCATATTTGGCCAATAGCGATGCAAATAATCGATTATAGAAATGCTTTCCACCATCATTAATAATTGCCCTGGAGTACCGTATCGAGTGAAAATGTTCTTCTTCATGAACTGAGTTACCACTCGCCCGTCGTTAGTTGGCAAAGCTACAGCTTCAACCCACTTAGACACGTAGTCCACTGCCACTAGTATGTATTGTTGACCGTAGGAGGGAGGAAATGGTCCCATGAAGTCAATGCTCCAAACGTCGAAAATTTCAACTTCCAAAATGTTGTTTAAAGGCATCTCGTTCTTCCTTCAGATATTTCCAGACCTTTGACACTTGTCAGAATGTTTCACCATATAATGTGCGTCCTTGAACAACGTAGGCCAATAGAAACCCGACTGTAGTACCTTTGCTACCTTTGCTGCTGTCTTGGTTGTTGCGAAGTGGCCCCCATACGGTGTAGAGTGACATGACTCTAATACTTGATGTTGCTTTACCTTTAGCACGCAACGACGTATGATTTGATCTGGACCCCTTCTATAAAGAATTGGATCATCCTAAAAGTAGTGTTTTAGGTCACTAAAGAATTTCTTTTTTTGGTGACTCGAGTAGTCTGGTGAGATAACGGAGCGGGCCAAAAAATTGACATAATCGGTGTACCATGGTGTAGTGATAATCTGAAAAAGCATTTCATCAGGAAAAACTTCATTGATCTCTACTGTAGGGTTGGACTCATGCGATTCAAGGCGAGAAAGGTGATCTGCCACAACATTCTCACTCCCGTTTTTATCTTTGATCTCCAAATTAAACTCTTGCAATAGGAGTATTCATCAAATAAGCCTCGACTTTGCATCCTTCTTGCTTAGTAGATATTTTAAAGCTGAATAATCCGTATCAACAATCACTTTTGACCCAATCAAGTATGATCTAAATTTGTCAACGGCGAACACTACTGTCAAAAGTTCTTTCTCTGTAGTCGCATAATTCATTTGAGCCTCATCCAAAGTCTTACTGGCAGAGTGAATAACATGGGAATTCTTCTCCTTTCGTTAACCCAACACCACCCCCACTGCGTGATCACTGGCATCACACATAAGTTCGAACGGATAATTCCAATTTGGAGAAGCCAATACTGGAGCAGAAACCATTTTTTCTTTTAAGATGTTGAAAGCTGTCAAGCACTCCTCAGAAAAGTGAAATGGGGCCCCTTTTTCCAGTAGATTGCATAATGGCTTCGAGATTTTGGAAAAATCTTTGATGAAGCGACGATAGAATCCAGCGTGACCTAAGAAACTTCTAACTCCCTTAACTGTTACCAACGGTGGTAGTTTTTCGATGACTTGTATCTTAGCTCTGTCAACCTCAATACCCCGTGCTGAAATCAAATGTCCTAACACAATCCCTTCCTGAACCATGAAGTAGCATTTTTCCCAATTTAATACAAGGTTTGTGTCTTCACATCGCTACAACACTTTTCCCAAGTGTTCAAGGCACTCCTTAAATGATTTTCCAAACTCTGAGAAATCATTCATAAACACCTCAATAATATGTCCCACCATGTCTGAGAAAATAGACATCATACAGCGCTGAAAGGTGGCTGGAGCATTGCAAAGGCCGAAGGGCATCCTCCTATAAGCAAAAGTGTCATAAGGGCATGTAAATGTTGTTTTCTCTTGATCATCAGGTGCTATAAAAATCTGGTTGTACCCCGAATAACCATCTAAGAAACAGTAGTAGGCATGTCTAGCGAGTCTCTCCAACATCTGGTCAATGAAAGGGAGGGGAAAGTGATCCTTCCTAGTGGCGTTGTTGAGTTTGCGATAATCAATGTAGACTTTCCAACCAGTGACTGTCCGTGTAGGGATGAGCTCGTTATTTTCATTTGGGACCACCGTGATTCCTCTCTTTTTTGACACTACTTGTACTGGACTAACCCAATGGCTGTTTGATATGGGATAGATTATCCCTACATCCAAAAGCTTTAATACTTCTTTTCTTACCACTTCCTGCATATTCGGGTTTAATCTACGTTGATGCTCAACTGAAGCTTTGTAATCATCTTCCATCAATATCTTGTGCATGCAAAGTGACGGGTTGATTCCTTTTATGTCTGATATCGTCCATCCTAATGCTATCTTGTGCTCCCGAAGTACTCTTAGCAGCAGATCTTCCTCTGATTCTGTAAGATTGTTTGAGATAATTACTGGGAGCGAATTCTTTTCCCCCAGATACGCATAGCGTAGATGAATGGGCAACTATTTGAGTTCAAGAGTTGAAGCTTGCTGTATAGATGGTAAAGGTTTTGTGGGTCTTTCACTGAGCTCCAAACATGGCTGCTTGAAAAGTGGTGGTATGGCTGCCAAATAATATGCACACTCTTCTGCTTCCTCTTTTTCCAATGGCAATTCCTGAGGATGCACCAAGCAAGCCTCAAGCGAATCTTGAGGGTGATCAAGTTTGAATGTCTCTGATACTGCTTCCTTTATTATGTCAATCTGCATGCTAGAATCTGGTTCATTCTGAAATTTAAAGGCTCTAAACACGTTGATTGTCAGTTCCTCTTCATCTAACCTTAATATTAACTGACCCTTTTGCACATCTATCAGAGCCCTTCCCGTAGCCAAAAATGGGCGACCCAATATGAGGGGAACGTCTCGATCTTCTTCCATATCCAGAATAATAAAGTCCACTAGGAATATAAACTTATCGACCTTGACCAAAATATCTTCACAAATACCTCACGGGTGCTTGATTGACCTATCGGCTAACTGCAATGAAATTGTAGTCGCTTTTGCTTCCCCCAAACCTAGTTTCCTGAAAAGAGATAAGGGCATTAAATTAATGCTAGCTCCTAAATCATACAATGCCTTATCTATATACAAATTACCAATATTATAAGGAATAGTAAAACTCCCTGGGTCTTTTAGTTTCAGTGGTAATTTGTGTTGGAGAATTGCGCTACACTCCTCAGTAAGCATGACCGTTTCATTGTCTTCTAACTTCCTCTTGTTTGATAAGATGTCTTTCATAAACTTGGCGTAGCTGGGCATTTTAGCTAGGACTTCAGCGAACGGTATGCTAACGTGCAACTTCTTAAATACATCCAAAAATTTCTGAAATTGCTTATCTAGCTTGTGTTTTTGCAGTCTGTGGAAATGGGATTGGAGGCACATATGCTTTAACAGGAGTGCTTGTCTTAACTCGTGGACTGCCCGATGACTCGAGTTGATTTTCCTCTGTTGTTTTGTCTAATTCATCAACTTGCTCCTCACCCATTGTAGGTGTCTTTTCTGTGATAGTTGCTGGTCGCTTTACATGTATTTCTGGTAGCTAGACTCCACTCCGTGTAGTTATGGCTTTGACTTGCTCCTTAAGGTTTGTCTCGGTGTTACTAGGTAACGTCCCTTGAGCTCTACCTGATAGTGCAGCTGCAATCTGTCCCACTTGTTGTTCCAAGTTCTTGATTGTGGCCTGTTGATTTTGAAAGTTGGTCTCAGTTTTAGTAATGTACTGAGCTAGCAAATCTTCTAAAGACGGTTTCTTTCCTTGTTGTTGTTGCGGTTGTTAGAACCCCGGTGGTTTATTCTGACCATGAAAAGTTTGGATGCTTCCTCCAATCCAGATTAAATGTGTTGGAGAAGGGACTATTTTGCTGTCTCTGAAAGTTCTTAGCATAGCTCACTTCTTCAGACTGGTTAACATGTGTAGACGCCAGAGGGCAGTGCGTAGTATAATGATCAGCTCCGCAACCTTCACAAACCGGTGGAGATTGGTGTACCATATTAACTTACTGAGTTAAATTATCCATTTTCATTGTAAGAACTTTCATTTGTATAGCTAGTGCTGTTACTGCATCTACATTATGCAGCCCGGCTGTCTTCCTTGGAGCTTCCCTATCGGTTGGCCACATCGATTGATTCTCAGCTATTCTTTTATACAAGTCATATGCCTCATCCACATCAAGTTTCATCAGCTATCCTCCTGCAGAAGCATCTATCATATTTCTGAATTCTTGCTTTAGACCGTAATAGAATAGATATTGCTAAGCCTTTTTAGGAATGTCTAAGCTGTGGCATTTCCTGAAAAAATCCTTGAATCTCTCCCATGCCTCCGGATAGCTTTCGAGCTCTTTCTACTTGAAAGTGTAGACTTCATTCCTGACTTGATGAACTCAAGAAGGTGGAAAAAATTTCATCGTGAATTTTTGAATCATATCGTTTCAAGATTGAATGCTCCCAGGAGGTAAACAAAGAAATCATTCCCTTACGGTGTCCTTCAAGGTTTGAGGGAATAATCTCATTCGAAATGCATCTGTTGATATTCCTTCGTGACTGATTACCTCACATAGCATAAGAAACGCCGAAATATGTTCATGAGGATTCTCTGTGGCTTTTCCAAAGAACTTGATGTCTTGGTGATTTTGGAACAAATTGTTGACATCTGGTCTACGGTGGAAATTAGGTTGTCCAAAGGGAGGATATAGGACAGCTGGTTGCACTGGTGCTGGAATTGGATTAACATAGTCTCCAACTAAGACAGGGGCTTCGTTCTGGATAGCTCTCTGTTGATTTGGCTGCGGTATTTGCTCGTGAAGCTGAACTTGATGCTGTGGTTGATTTTGGTTATCGGCCATTCTCCTTACTTGA